TCAATCAAGGTGCACAACCCTACACTAAAAATCTCTCTCTCTCAACCCTATCACCAAGATGGCTGATCGCGCAGCGCGTGGCATCCACCTACCCTCGACACCAGGCCTCGACACCTCGACACCAGGGCTCAGCCCCACCCCACCCACCGCCGCGCGCACGCACGCGGCCAGTCTCCGCGTGCGCGCCGCGCGGCGGCACCCCTGCTCAAAAAAAGGAAAACGGTCTGGTTGGAGCCACGGGGGCTCACGTACTCGCTCGGAGCGCCGCCTCACTTTGCGCCACTTTGAGGCGTTGAGCCCGCGGCGGTGAGGCGGCGCCCCGCGCGGCTCGTTCATCGCCCTCCACGCCGACCCCTGCGCGCACCGCTCATCTTGGCTCTCTCGGGGTTACTCTCGCGCTCGCGCGCGCGCGCGCAGGGGAACCCGACGGGACTATCTCCACCTGCGCCGACGGGTTAGGTCGGCGCTGCGCCCCTTTGGCGCTTGTGTGCATGTCCCGCGTGCCCGCCTGCCAGGGCCGATGCCAAGGCCAAATCAACAACATTCCCCCCGGCTGGTCCGATTTTTTTATTTTATTGCTGCTCGCTATCTTCGGCGTCCCAAACCGGCCGCAATCTCGACTCAACACCTCCTGGCGATGCCAAGCGACACCAAGCCGCTACGGTCCGCGCACGCACAAGAAAGTGTGGCCGACGCGGTCGTCGTTGCGGTGCCAGCAGTGCCCGCGACGCTGCCAGCCGTCGTCACCTTCGACGTGCAAGCCACCGATGAGAACCTGGTGCGCTGAAGCAGCAGGGCCGTGGGCGGAGACAGTCACCCCCCCTCCGATAGCCGCGCTTATCCCCCCCCCCCCCCTGTCCTGTCGCGCCCTCACCTGCCCACAGGGCAAATGGCGCGGCGGCAACCTGTGCGACTGCTGCCTCGACTGCGCCGTCTGCTGCTCTGTCATGTACTGCCCGTTTGTCGGCGTGGCGCAGCTGGCGCAGCGGTACTCGCCGATGCGCGGCGGCGAGAAGGTCCAAAAGTGCAAGGTGTGAGCAGTTGGGCGGCGTCCCTCGCGCACAGCCACACGCACGCTTTGGTCTCCCCCCCCCTCTCACGCACCCCCCTCCTCGATCCGCGACCCGCATGCCGCGACCTCGGCTCCCGCCGCTCCCCTCCCCCGCCCCCCCACCTCCCCACCGGCAGGTGATCGCCGTGATCCTCTTCGTGCTGTTTGTGTGCACCAGCATCTTCAGCAAGATCTACTGGGAGAACTACATCGCTGCCATTCAAGAGTTCATGCAGTCCGAGCACGAGATCCGCGGCTTCTACGTCGGCCCGACCTACGAGGACTCTCCAGCAACTTCCAGCCGAAAGAACACGCGCTCTGGCCCTACAAAGCGCTCGCGGGTGCCTTCTCCGCCGCCTTTTTCTCTT